GGATGGGGAGGGCGCAGAGCGGGCAGGTTGAAAGAAAAAGGAGGCAGCATAAGCAAGGCACACTGCGCCCAGAGTGGTGAGTTTGAGGGAAGGAGGGGAGCAGCACAGGCAAGGCACATAGAATGAAGAGGGCGGGAGGTCACATGTCGGCGGGCAGGGGCGAGGGAGGCGAGGCGCCGCGGGCCTGGGCCATGCCGGGCCTTCCAGGGCAGCGCTGCGGCGGGTCAGGGGTGCGCCCTGCCGAGGCCCGGCGGTACGGCGCTGCATGTGGTACCACCACCAGCATCGTACCGCCCCACCTGTACAGCAGGTTGTCGATGCCGCGGGCGCCGCCGGCCAGGTCCTTGATGCGGGAGGGGTCCTGCAGGCGCAGGCAGGAGCATGCGTGTAGGTGCCTGTGAAGAATGGCAGGTGCAAGCAGGGTGCGCAGGGCGGGCCCGGCAGCGCACGGCGGCGCTGGGCGCGGGTCTGCCGTACGGGTGCAGATATGCAACTTGATGCAGAGCTGCCCTGCGCGGAGCCTGCGCCCCAGCCCAAGCAACCTCCCCGCCCCGCCCCAGCGCTGCTGCTCCGGGGGCCAACTTCAAAGCACCCGGCCCGCAGGCAGGGTGCCCTACCACGCTGGGCCAGCCCCAGGCCAGCCTCAACCCAAAACCGCCGCTGCCACGCAAACACACGTGCACTGTACCACACACACACACACACACACGCTCCCGCACCCACGCAGCGCACCTGCATCTCCGTCACCCAGCCATCGTACCGCAGCTGTACCGTGATGACCGGCACACCCACCAGCTGGAACACATTGTCCCAGAAGGGAACGGAGCGCCAGGCCTGCGGGGAAGGCAGGGAAGCAGGGCGGAGGGAAGGGTGGAGGCAGGAGGCAGGGCGGAGGAAAGGGTGGAGGTAGGGAAGCCGGGTGGAGGCAGGCTCTTGCCAGGCAGTGGTAACGTGCGAGGGCAGTGGTAACGTGCGGAGCGTGAAAGGCTGTGCTGGTGGTGGCGGGTGGGCTGAGTGGAGGGACACCAGTCGCGTGCCTCCCTCCCTGCGGGCAGGCCCCCAGCCAGAGCACTCCAGCGGCGGCTTGCCTGCGGGATGAGGCGCTTGGCCCCCGGCACATCCAGGGCCGCCACATAAACGTCCGCCTCCACCACCTGCTCCCGCCCCGCCTTGCTCAGGCGCAGGCCCGTCACGCGCGTGGCGCCGTCGCCGCCCTGCTCGTACAACACCTCCCTGTTGTTGTTGGAAGGGGGAGGGAAGAAAGCACGTCGGAGGGAGTGAGAGGAAGGGCAGGGGAAAGGGCATGGGCACGGGCAGGGCAGGGATGGGTGGTGAGGAGCGAGGGGCAGGCGAAGAGCCGAATCAGGGCCGGGGCCGGGCACCTCGATCGACAGTGGCCTCGCATCCCCGCGCGTGCACGAAGGCAGCCCACAGCCTCAGCACGATGCACATGGCAGCAGCGGCAGTAGCGGCAGCTCGGCAGATGCCGCACCTGCAGCCCCAGCGCGTGTGGATGCGGCCGCCCTTGGCCTCAATGTAGTTGGTGATGGGGCGCAGCAGGCGCTCGGCGGGGGAGCCGTTGAGCATGCGCAGCGCCGAGGCGTCGGTCTTGGTGGCGAAGAACTGGAAGGGAGGAGGGGGGCAGGGAGGGATGGTTGAAGGGAAGCAGGGAGAGGGGCGCGGTGGGCAGGCCAGGCCAGGAGCAGGGCAGGCAGGCAGTGCGGCACATCACACATGCACACACGAGCACACACACGACCGCTCACTCACACACAGAGCAGACCACACCGCCACACCGCCCTGCCACAGCACACTCACACATAGAACACCACAGCACATGCACGCACACACACGCACAGAGCACCACCACACCACCACACCGCCACAGCACAAGACCACAGCACACACGCCATACCGCCACAGCACAAGACCACAGCACACGATCACAGCACAAGACCACACTACACACCTGGAAGATGGACAGCATGCAGCGGGCGGAGATATCGTCGCAGTTGAGGAAGCCCAGCGCGTAGGCTGCGGCAAGAGGGGGAGAGGAGGCAGTGGGCATTGAACAAGCGGCACTCAGCCAGATCGAAGACTCAGCCGGATCGGGAGAGGGAGGGAAGGGAGGCAGGCAGCGGGGAGAGGCGCGGGCAGGAGGGAGGCAGGGGTGCGGCACAGACACCCACACACCCACACCCACACACCACTCACACACATGCCCGTGGCTGGTACCCTGCCCCGCCCCCCGCAGCCGTGCCCCGCGCACCGATGGGGTCCCACATGCGGTCGATGGACGCCTGCGAGCCGCCGTGGCTCTTGAACCACTGCGTAAAGGAGACGTCGTCCAGGGCGCGCACGTCGCGCATGCCGCCCTCGGGGTCAAACAGCGAGCGCACGATGGGCGAGGTGCCCAGAGCCAGGGAGTTGGCCACCTTGTCGGTAAGGCTCAGCTGCGGCAAGGGCGGGCGGCAGGCGGGCAGGGGGCGGGGGGCAGGCGGGAGGTGGGGAGGTGGGGAGGTGGGCTGGTGGGTGGGCTGGCAGGTGGGCTGGCAGGCACGGGTGCGCGTGGAAAAGGTGGATGGCATGGGGGAGGTGGCTGCTGCAGCCTGCGTGGGGCGCGGCTGCTGCATCCGCGCCCACAGCTTGCCAGCTCCGCACCTGCGGCGTGGTGAAGAAGGCGCGGAGGCCGTGGAAGGGGGCGCCTATCTTGGTGCCCCCCAGGAAGAAGCGGAAATCGAGCTCGCGCACGTCGCCTCCCTGTGGAAGGGAGGAAAGAAAGAAGAAAGTAAGAACCAAAAAAAACAAACGATCAAGGAGCGGAGGAGGTCTCAACTCGTGGCAACAGGGCCCGGCCAGCTGAGGCCTGCGCCGCGCCGCAGGCTGCGCCGCGCTCGGGCGGGACCCGCAGGCGGGGCGCCGCACCTTGTTGCAGAAGGTGTGTGTGTGCTCCTTGAGCAGCAGGTTCTCCAGCACGCCGCACTTGGCCATGAGGCGGAACAGATTGAAGTAGCAGCCTGCATGTTGGTGGGCAGGGGAGCAGAAAGCTGGCGGGTGAGTCAGTGCCTGGTGAGTCGGCACCTCGTGGCGCCAACGACAACACCCAGGAACGCCTCCAGGCCACGGCGGCAGCTCGAGCCGCCCTGTCAGGTGGTGCCTCAGCGCTCCCCACCGCGCTGCTGCCGTCTGCCGCCCCGTGCCGCTGCCAGCCCTCTGGCCGCCCGGCAGCGCTGCCCCGTGCGGCCGTCAGCATTCCCACCGCGCCGCCAGCCCTGCCAGCCCCGCGTGAAGCCAAGGCGCACCGAAGAAGACGTGGAGGCCCATTTCGATATCATTGCCGTTGCGGTCGCGGTAGGAGGCGACCTTGCCACCCACAAAGGGGCGGGACTCGTAGATGTCCACCTCGTAGCCCTGCAGGGGAGGAAAGCGGGAAAAGAAAGCGCAGTCCTGTCTTGTGTCGACACGCAGATGCCCAGCACGTGTAGCCACCCCCCGTAGAGCTCCTGCGGCAGAGCCATGGCGCGGCTCCGGGCTGCTGCAGGTGGCACCTCTCCAGCGGCACCGGGAGGCTGCTGCTGCTGCGCATGAGCTGCTTGCTGCTCCTGCGGCTGCTAGCCACCGCCCACCTGATCCAGCAGCTCGACGGCGGTGGACAGGCCCGCCAGCCCGCTGCCCACGATGGCAACCTTGAGCTTGGGGGCGCCCTGCACTAGTTCCGTTGCGGTTAGCCAGGCTGTGTGTGTGTGTTAGGCAAACAAGTAGCCGAGTCGCAGTGCGACCGCGGTGCCAGCACATGAGGTTGCCAGCCGCAGCAGCGGAAGCGGCAGCAAGGCGCGGTGGCCAGCGGCGAGCGGGCCCGCAGCGGCACGCAAGCGGCGGGAGGCGGCGGCGCACCGGGCGCGGCGTGCCCGGGTCTTCTGGGAACAGTGAGCGCAGCGGGACATCCTTGAGGCCTACATTGTTGACGTTGCCCACGTCCGACCTGGTGGGGGCTTGCACTGCTTGGCCGAGCACTGCAGGTGGCAGCAGGGAGCGGCGGCGGCGGTGGCCAGACACCCGGGCGGCGGCGGCGGCCAGGGGCCATGCAGCCGCCAATGCGCCGTGTCCTGGCGCTCCCCCGGCCCACCTGTGCGGCTGAAGCGTGCGCCCCGGGTGGCCCGCTGGCCCAGCGGCCTGAACGCCTGCACCGGGGCTGCGCTGAGCGCCAGCCCGCTGCTGGAGACGGCCGCCTGCATGCTGTGCTATGTGTAGCTTCAAGAGATGAAATGTGCCACGACAGGGGGTGTAGCAGGCTCGTCGACCGGTCCCCACGAAAATCAGACTGGCTGCGGGTGGAGGGGCAGGGACAGCGGCCTAGCGAGATGGACACAATTGCCGCTTGCACCTAAAGGGCCAGGCAGAGCTATCGCGGGTAGCAACTGGGGCGGCCGGCAGGATGAGGAGCGCAGCACGAGCGCAGCACGGCATGAGTACCTGTGTAGGGCCCGTGAGCTAACCGATCGCTTCAACCTATAGAAAGTAAACTCAAGGGCGGGTGCAGGGCGCCTGCCGTTGCCCATAGGCAGACATGTGGCGGGGCCTTGGCACTCCCCTGCTCCGCCGGTTGCTCTCAACACAACCTGCTGATGCCGGCTTTGGGGGGATCCCGGGCCTGCATCGCCCCGGCGACTGGCATGCGCTGGCCAGGGATGCCGTGGCCAGGTGGGCTTCAAACTTGCTCCCTGGGGCTTGCCGCTTGTTGCATATGAGTTGCTGGGCCTGAAGCCCGCCCCCCTGCAGGTGCGAGGGCCTGGTGGGCGAGGTGGTGCGGGCGCCGCCGTCGGCGGCAGTTGTCCGCCTGCTCGACGACATCTCAGACACGGTGGGTCCTGATGGGTTGGTCATTGGCCAGGGGTGGAGTGCTGGGCACAGCATCCCTGACCATGTGACTGGGCCTCTGTTTGGCAGCCAGCTGACTGGTGTGCGCTCGGCGTGGGGCTGGATGTGGCGGCAGCGGGAGGTGCCTGCCTCTGCCGCCAGTTCACTCGCCCGCTGTGGCCCTGCCTCCTCTGCCGCCTACCCCACTGGCGCGGGGTGCAGCTGTGCCAGGTGCTGGATGCCGCAGAGTTCTGCCGCAACGTGCATGCCGACGAGGAGTGGCGGCGCCAGGCGCAGCAGGCAAGCTCGCTGCGTGACCTGCCTGACTGCCTCGGCAGCAGCATGCAAACCGAGTCGCAGACGCTCTGCAAGACGGCGGCGGCAGCGCCTTTGCTGTCCATCCCGTCGACACAGCCTGCCCTGCCGAACGCTGCACGCCGGTCTCGCTAGCTGCGCATGGAACAGCGGCTGATGTGTCTCCTGCCTTGTGGTGCGCTCATACGGCCCCTGCAGGCATGTGTGGAGCTGAGCGGGTATGTGCAGGAGCTCAACACCCACTACAGCCTCTACACAGCGCTGGTGCGGGCCCTGCAGCACCACGAGGCAGCGGCGGCGGCGGCGGCAGCGCCATCGGCAAGAGGGGAGGCGGGAGGTGGAGCAGCGGCAGCAGCAACAGGGGCGAGGGGAGCAGAAGGAGGAGCGGCGGCGGAGGGAACAGCGCCAGCAGCGGGGGCAGCGGGGGCAGCAGGAGGCGCGTGGAGCGAGGAGGAGGTGCTGGTGGGGCGCATGCTGCAGCGCGATTTCGAGCGGTACGGCGTGCACCTGTCGGGAAGCCAGCGGGACCGCATGACCCACCTGGTGCACAGGGGCCAGGCCCTGGGCATGCAGTTCACCCACAACGTGCTAGACCCCGCACAACTGGGCAGCCTGGAGCTGCGGGGAGGGCTGGCGGGTGAGCGGCGGCGGCATGCCATCAGCGGCTGCTGGGGAGCCCTGCGCAGCCTGGTGCAGCGCCCGGGCAGAGCAGCTCTTGTCTCTTGGTTTGAGGTTGCACCTTCCCAGCTGTCCTGCCCCAGGCTTGTGCGACTGCCACCCACCCAGCCTGCCTCCTGCCCCCGCCCGCCACCTCCGCAGAGGCCGCGTCCCGCCTGCCGCACCACCTACAGAAGCGGCTGCGCCCGCTGGCGGCGCCGGGCGGCGGCGGCGCGGTGCAGGGGCTGGCCTGTCTGGCGGACACCTCAATGCTGCAGTCGCTGCTGCGCAGCTCTCGGGACGAGGGGCTGCGCCGCGCCGCCTTCCAGGCCTGCCACCGACAGCCGGCCGCCAACCTGGCTGTGTTGGACGCCCTGGTGGAGGTGGGTGCGTGTGTGCTTGCTGCGACAGCACAGTGGTCTGCACAGCACTCATCCACAGCAGCGCTGGTGCATCGGTGTGATGCACCTAGGCATGCACACTAGTGCCTGCTCCAGCTTGGCCGCCTCACTTCCTGCACTCTTGAGTCTTTCCATGCCTGCTTGCTTGCCTACATTTCCTGCAGGCGCGGCACGAGGTGGCCCGCCTGATGGGGTTCGACTCGTACAGCGCATACCAGCTGGACAGCTTCAGCCTGGCTTCCCGTCCCGCCGCCGTCGCCGCCTTCCTGCGCCGCTTCGCCGCCGACATTGCGCCCAAGTGCGAGGAGGAGGCGGCTGAGATGGCGCGGCTGAAGCGGTTGTGCTCCGGCAGTACAGGTGGCGGTACAGCAGCGGTACAGCCCTGGGACCGCCACTTCCTCATGGCTGCCGCCCGCAGCGGCGAGGAGGCCGAGGCGCTCGCCAGCCTGCCCGCCTACCTGGAGCTGGAGCGAGTGGTGGAGGGCCTGAGCGACCTGCTGCGGCGCAGCATGGGCGTGCAGCTGCAGGAGCGGGCGCTGGCGGAGGGCGAGGGCTGGGCGCCCGGCGTGCGCAAGCTGGCGGCGGTGCATGACACAGGTGGGGTGCCTGCCTTTGCCTGGGCATGGAGAGGGAGAGGGAGAGCCTGTCGTGCTGCACGCAGTGGATGCCTCGGCCTCTGTGGTCACCTCCCGCACATCACCTGTACTGCCATATACTAACATGTACCACATGTACCGCCGCAGACGGCTTCCTGGGGGTGGTGTACCTCGACCTGTACCGCCGCCCTCAGAAGTTCCCCTCCGCAGCGCACTTCACCCTGCGCTGCGGCCGCAGCCTGCCAGACGGCTCCTACCAGGTGGGCATGCCGGGGGCCGGCCAGGCAAGGTGACGCAGGGTTCGAGGGAGTGTGCCAGCCAGCCAGGCCTGGGCAAGGTGTTCAGGCAGGGGCTAAGCAGCCTGTGGGTTGTAGCCGCTCCAGCAGCGGCATGGGACAGCAGCCTGCCAAAGCTGCTGCTCCGCCGCCGCTGCTGTCCTCGGGCCTGCAGACGCCGGTGGTGGCGCTTGTGGCCAACATGGTGCAGCACGCCGGGCTGTCCATGAGCGAGGTGAGGCTCTCCAGTCAGTGTCCTAAGCGTCACAGTCAGTGCCCTGCACTGCTGTTCTTTCTCTTGAAGACGACAGCCGGCTTGTGCTGGGCGTACTGCTGTGCTGGGCTCCCCAGTGGTGTGTGTGGGGCGGGCAGGCAAGCTGTTTTCCCGGCCCGGCCTTGGTGTTGCATTTCCGCTGCCTCACCATAGTTGCATTCCTCGCCCTCCAGGTGGAGATGCTGTTCCACGAGTTTGGCCACGCCCTTAACTCCCTGCTCAGCCGCACCCGCTTCCAGCACCTGGCAGGCAAGCGCGCCCTGTGCTGTGCTGCAACGCTGTGCCCGCTGCGCTGGCACAGCTGGCCGGCACGCGCCGCGTGATGGGCGGCTTGACTGCGGCAGCTGTGCGAGGTCACTTGGGTCTCTTGACACAGGGGCTCTGCTGTCGCAATCGCACCCCGCTGCTTGGAGTGCCAGGCACGGTTTGGCAGAGCCGGCGGGCTGCCCTGTCCACCCGGCACGCCCGGCATGCTGCCACGCATCCCTGCACACCTTTTACTCGACTTACACAGCGGATTCAGAGGCAGCGAGGCTCATGCACGCGTTGCAGCGGCGTACAACACCCACCCGCTGCCCCCGGCCCCGCCCCTTTTCTGCAGGCACCCGTGGCCCGCTGGATATGGTGGAAGTGCCGTCCCACACTCTGGAACTGTTTGCGTCGGACCCCCGAGTCCTGTCCCTGTTTGCCGCGCACCGCAGCAGTGGCGAGGCGGTGCCGCCACGCCTGCTGGCCCACCTGGAGGCCAGCAAGCGGCGGTGGGTGGCACTGGAGCAGCAGACGCAGGTGCTGCCCCGGGCGGCTTCAGGCCCGGTCATTCTTCTCGTTTCTTTGTGCATTGAGGTGGTTGGGTGGGGTGGCTGGGGCAGCTGCGCTGCCACCATCCCCTCCCCACCGCGCAAACAAACTCATGCACACATACATACA